TTACATGTCATAAATACTGCAAAGAATAGTCAGTTTGTAAGGACAGTGCAACATGAAAACGTGCTCCAGCCAATTTTCCCACCATGACAAAACCCTTGAGGGTAAAGAGCCGCGGCGGGCAAGGCAGAGCAGAGAATCACGGATAAGTAGAATCAAAATCTTCACCTAATGGTACCTGACACTAGACTCAATTTTTGGACCTTTTCATTTACATGAACCAATAAATTCACTTTCCATCCTTAGATTAGATTTCTCCAAGATACAAAAAATTAATCTTCCCTTTCATTTACTTCAACAAATGCCTATATTCAGTTACCTTTTACCATTATTTTAGAAAAACATTAAGCTTAAAATTATCTAATACTTGCAGATCAGTTTCTTCCATAATCTGACACAAATATAAAATAGTCTATTCATTTCACATCAGAAGATATGACCAAACTGGACTTAGCAAGCTCAATGTTCAACATTTATGAAAAATTGTATCTTCCTCCCCAGGACTACCAAAATGCTTGATAATCATGAAGTTGCACAACAGAAACATTTAAAGAACAAGACCAATGATATTAGAAAACAAAGGAGATATTAGTAAATTCAACATTATTAACACGTAACATTAATGCAAATAATTTAAATATCTACTGGGGAATTAGCATGTAAATATACTTTTTAATGCTATATGTTAATCTCAAGAAAATGAGTGAACTTTGAATTTCCGCCAAAAGTCATTTAAGAACAAAAAGGTTTTTTAGTCTTAAAGCTCTAAAGGGAATCACATTAGAAAGAAAGCAATATTTCTTTGCCGTGGCTTAGCTGTTGGGTGGGCGTGCTCTGCTACTGGCGGCCCGGGTTCGGATCCTGGGCGCACACCGAGGCACTGCTTGTCCGGCCATGCTGAGTCAGCGTCCCACATACAGCAACTAGAAGGATGTGCAACTATGACATACATCTATCTACTGGGGCTTCGGGGAGAAAAAGGGAAAAAAAGGAGGAGGATTGGCAATAGATGTTAGCTCAGGGCCGGTCCTCCTCAGCAAAAAGAGGAGGATTGGCGTGGATGTTAGCTCAGGGCTGATCTTCCTCACAAAAAAAAAGAAAGCAATAAATGACACCCTTATGCCAATTAACACTGGTCTCAGATACACCAAAAATAACCCTTTCCTCAAATTCTTTCAAGGCAATAGAAAGATAATCATAACAAGCACTAGTCCAAGACTCCTATAACTCCTCTCTCTCACTAATTATGTAGCAACCAAAAAGAACTACCTGTCATAATGAAAACAATCTGCCAATTCCATTCCCACACCAAGAAGCTAAATGTGGCTAAGAGGAAACATACAACCATGATGCCTGGCTTCACTTTCAATGCATGACTATGCATTTCAGCCAGATCCTTAGCGCTTCCTAGCAATGCTACCATACTCTCCAGTTAATTCACTCTCTTCATCTAGATGGCAAGTGCACATTTTCCTTTTCATCTCAAACATCAATACCACCTACCCCATCATCACTCTCAGTTACTGAGAAAAAATAAAAGTCATCAGAAGACAACTAAGAACGTATAAGTCATCAGAAGAGAATTTCAAAGTGCACCCCCTCTACTCACCTGCATGAATCTATCATCTACACTCTGCCTTCCGTCCTGTTTTTATGAATAAATGGTCCAAGCTCCTACTGAAGCTCATACAATCCAATACCATTCTCTTCCACTTGACCAAGTAAATGACTCCAGTACTCTCTCTTAAATCAACAGCTCCCTCTCTACTGTAAAATTTCCATCATGATAGAAATATGCTGTCATTTCTCCATTTAAAAAAATCTTGACCCCACATCTCCCTTGAAACACAGGCCCATTTCTCTCTTCCCTTTTATCACAAAGGACCTCAACATAGTCACCTATACCTCCTGTCTCTAATTCCTCTCTTCCTATTTTTCCTTTAGCCTACTCCAAACAAGCTTTTGCCCCTACACTCCACAAAACCACGGATCAAGGTTACCAATAATCTCCATGCAGCTTAATTCAGTGGTCAATTCTCAAAATTCATCTTACACAACTTATATCAGTAGAATTTGACACAACTGATAATACCATGCTCCTTCAAATACCTTCTCCACCTGGCTTCCAGGATGCCATACTCTCTTGCTTTTCCTTCTAACTAATTATGCTTTCTCTGTTGCCTTTGCAGGTTACTCCTCATTATTCTAACCTCTTAATGTGGGAGGGTCCCAGGGCTCAGTCCTTGAACCTCTTCTCTTTTCTATCTATGCTCTCTCCTTCAGTAATCTCATCCAATCTTTGGTTTAAATATCATTTATTCACTGATGACTCCCTAATTTATATCTCCAGTTTTGAACACTCATGAACTCTCAACTCTTGTATCTTTAATTGTATAGCGACATTTCCATTTGGATATGGAAGAGGCATCTTAACACATTAAAAAAACAAACTCTTGATCTTTACCCATATTGCTGACATTACAAGTGTCACCAATATCCAGTTCTCCTCTCCTTCAGAGCACATGAATGACAACACATGGTAAGGCCATATGACTTGTTCTGGCCAATTTAATGTGAACAGAAGTGCCATGTATCACTTCCAGCCTGGAGAGTGAAGAGCCCATTTGTGATTCTCCCATGTCTCTCTTTCCCTTCTGTGGCAACTGAAAATGCTCTGTGTTCCATCCAGATGGTGTACCTTCAAGACATGATGCCTCCATCAACCAGGCTTCCTTAGTGACGGCAAAGACCTTCCCACTGATCCACATGGGAAACGTACCAGGAGCAAGAAATAAACCTATATGTTTAGCCACCGAGATTTTGATTTTGAGATTTTGTAGCTCTTAGTTATCACAGCATAGCCTCACCTACCCAGACTAATATCCCCCAAACCTGCTCTCACATAGCACTCTTCTCCATATCAGCAACTCCATTCTTTCAGCTGCTCAGTCAAAAACCTCGGAGTCATTCTTGACCCCTCTCTTTCTCTCATATCCTACATCCAATTCATCAGCATTTCCTGTGCCTTCATAATACATCCGGAATCCAACCACCTTTACTGCCTCCACTACCATCCTGCTCTTCAAAAGATACAAGTAAGAAAACGAAGACAAGCCACAGAGTGGGAGAAAATATTTATAATATTTACAAAATATATATCTAAAAATATTTACAAATATATATCTGATATATATCTGATGAAGAACTTATATCCAGAATATATAAAACTCTCAAAGCTCATCAATAAGAAAACAAACCAGCCAATTAAAAAAAAAAGCAAAAGACTTATCAGACATTTCACCAAAGAAGACATGGATATCAAATAAGCACATGAAAAGATAATAATACTCAATATAGTTAGTCACTGGGAAATGTAAATTAAGTTAAAACACTAAACACATACTAGAATGGCTAAAATTAAAAAGACCGACAATACAAAGTGTTGATGAGATGTGGAACACTGGGACTCTCATAAACTGCTGATTGAAATTTAAAATGTACAACCACTTTGGAAAATAGTTTGGCATTTTCTTAAAAAGTTAAACATACACCTGTGGTAATTGAAAGAAATGGTATATTGAAAGAAACGGTCCACTTCAGAAGCTATTTGTAGATGATTAATAACTATTTATTGGTGATTCTTACCTTTGTTGAAAGGTGCTAAAACATACACCTCCAGATGATCTAGACCTTCCACTCCTGAGTATTCCCAATGAAAGTATATTTTGACTTAAAGATCTGTTACAAATGTTCATAGCCCCAAACTAGAAACTGCCCAAATGTCCATCAACAGGTGAATGGATAAACAAATTGTGGTACATCCATACAAAATAATACTACTCAGTAACAAAAAGGACTGAACTATTGATACACACAACACAGATGAATCTCAAAATAATTATGCTGAGTAAAAGAAGCCAGAAAGGAAAAAAAGAAGAGTATATACTATATAATTCCATTATATAAAACTCTAGAAAACATGAACTAATCTATAGTGACAGAAAACACATCAGCGGTTGCCTGGGGAAGAGGGATGCTAAGAAGGGCAGAAGCAAGGGATTACCAAGGGCACAAGGAGACTTCTGAAGGTGATGCATATGTTCACTATCTTGGTTGTGGTGATGGTTTCACAGGTGTATGCATATGTCAAAACATTAAATTGTTTAAATTTGTGTAGTTAATAGCATGTCAATGATAATTCAATAAACCTGCTTTTAGAAAGAATATAGCAGGTACTCAATAAATATTTTTAGAATGAATAAAGTGGATGAAAATGAAAATAGATGCTAAGAAAGCAAAATCCTATGAATGAACTGAAGTAGGAACCCCTTATATCTTCCTTCATCCAATAGTATTCTTTTCTGAATGAGAGAACATAAGTAGAAAAGGAAGCACAAGCTATTACAAAACAAAGTCCCTCAGTGCGAAGTTGTAGGGCCTTTCAGACGTGAAGGACCACCTGTAAGTGGCTCCTGAAAAGGACAATCGCTATTCTACACACAAGCCATCTTCTTTCACCATAGTTCCCTAGCAGTTGAATAATGTCTTTGAACTCATCTTAGAAACCTGGCCTCATCTCTCTTTTTTATATCATCTTCACTTGCCATTAAACTTATATTGACCCTTTTACCACAAATTTAGTTTGTTGCAAATTTTTTAAGAACTAAGGAATGGCCATAGCGGGTGTCCTCAGTTCATGAGTCTTGGATAAAAAGTCCTTTTCCTTGGATTCTTTGTCCTCTGTCTCCCAATTTCCCACTGAAGTAGAAAAATCACCATCTCTATTTCATTCACCTCCTTGCTCTTCTCTTAGAAATCCTAAATTCCACTTGTCATCATCAATTTTAGCATCATCCTAATATATGAATACACTCGCTTCCTTCATAAGCTACTATGGTTATGTGTTTTCTGTGACATGACTCTCTTATCATAAAATAAAATAAAATATAAAATAAAGGCACAGCACCCACGTATGTTTCAATAAAGTTAGCCTCGTGACTCACCTCATTTCCACCAACTGCCTTGGTTAAAATCACTGCAGAAGACACAGGGGGAGGCATGCAACCTACCGTCTGCAAACTGAAAAAGAAAAGAAAATGCAATTATAAGTATGTTTTCTTTTCAATTATAAATAGTTTTTTCAGTACATTTATTCTAAAATAGCAGAGCTGAGTAAATGAAAACAGGAGAATGTTTATTGATGCATATGCCGTGTAGAGTTTAGACAACTCTTGATGAGGCAACATGGCTTAGAAGACTCTGCAAGTGCATGGGGTAGCTCTCATTCCATTCCACAGGCTTGGGTGATTCTATTTTTTTAAATTATTTAAGCTCTTATTATACAATTCAAAAAACAGTCAAGTTATAGTGAGTGTAGTCATTGAAAGATAACCAAAATGGTTAATCATTTGCTAAGTGTATATAATTTTAGGTTATTTTCAGGTATCTTTTCCTCATATTTTTTGTAGGAAGTCTTTTGGCAAAAATAAAACTTTAAAACCACTTTCAAAGTTCAAAAATATTTAACAAAACACAAGCACACATTTGCCGATTCCTTTCTATAAAACATCAACTTTTAAACTTTCATCTCATAAAAGACATTTTCATGTTGTTGTAATATCAATATAGAAACAAGCATGACACAACCATATACTTCTTGGATTCAGACTCTGTAGTAAATTCTAGGGTCTATCCTACATTACAGAAGTTTATGCTCTAGTGTCTATTCTAAATTTAGTTTTTATTAAACTATATGTATACTCCCTAGAACATGACAAGAAGTCTGTTCTCTGAGTTTAGGATAGAAAATACGTTGCACGACAAGCAAACGAAACTATGAGTAGTAAATCTAAGTACTAAAGATAAAAAACATTACTTAGCATTCATATAGAATACACATTCTGGGGACAGAGAGTAGCTGGCCCAATTAAAGTGGAAAGTTCATACAGGGAATAGAGGACACAGAGTATCTGACTAATATTTTGAATGTAGGATTACAGACGATTTTTATTTACTTTTGTAATAACGTACTGTCTAAACTTTATGTAATGAATGTAACATTAGCTCTGAAATAAGAAAAAATAAAAGTTTTATCTCATTTTGACTGAAAACATAAGAAAACACATTTTATGGAATTTCCAGCTCAATTCAATTCAATATAGTCTTGTTTTTAAGGTCTATTTTCCCAAGTGATGCTCAAGTAGTGTGTCCGATTCCCAATCTCTAGCCTTCCTTATGATCATCACCACCACTAATACTTACTGCATTTACCATTTGTAGTAGATACTGTTCTAGACACTTGACTCACGTTTCTCACAAGTTAAGGCAAATACTATTATTATTCTCATTTTACTGAAAACTAAAGAAAGAAGTTAAATAATCTGCCCAAACTCACAAAGCCGCCTATCTAGGGTTAAACTGTTATTCTGGAATCCAGGGTCAAAGACTTATCTAGGCCTACTCCTCCAGCCCTCTGCCTTCTATCTCCCCTACCACCAATACCAGGAACAGGTCTGCTCAGGTATTTTCAATCTTTCTAGCTTTTTCAATCTTTTCCTCTCTTCTGGCCCCTTCTCTTCTATGTACAAAGAAGCAGAGTTCTCCCTATCCTTAAAAAAAAACAAAAGCCCCAAACTATACTTTGAATACATATGCCTTCTATATGTAGGATAATACACAAAGGTATTAAAAAAAAAGCATAAGACATCATCCCTGCCTTCAAGGAGGCAGAAAATTCAACATATAAATGTAGATAATTAACCTCAAAATTAGTACTCTTGCCTCAAGATGTAATTCTGCTTTTTTCATTGTAGCTCACAGTTGACTTGCTTTAAAGAGTGCTCCACTTCCATGACCCCAAAGCTCATTCTCTCCTCACTCCCTTGGAATCTGACTTATGCCCCTTCTACTAGTAAAAGTAGCAACCTTAAAAGTAACCAGTGATCTCCTAATCACCAAATCCAATATTCTTTTCCCCATATTCCTTCTCCTTACCTTCTTGCTTCTCAAAGCACTCTATTCTCTTGGTTACCATGGTACTTCATCATTCTAATTTATCTCCTGTCTTTTAAACCAGCCATTCTAGTTTTTTTGCTGGATCTCCTTCCTTCTTCTCAATCTTATTTTCAAATCTAAATCTGTAGGAATACTTTCAAATTTACATTTCTGGCCCTAACCACCATTCCCAAATTTGTAGCTGCCTACAATGGCCACCTCAAACTAAACATGTCTAATATTGAATTTATATATTTTCTAAAAAATCAATTTTGCCTCTCAATTTACCTATTTCTGTCAATGGGACAGTTTTTTCCTAATAATCCAGTTTGAAACTTTGGAGTTATATGTGGCTCCACTCACTCCTCATAAATTAATCACCACAACCAACTTTCCATTCTTTTCCATGACTGTTGCCATCATCCCCCTTCAGATGCTTTTCGTCCATGTCTGGGCATTTCCAAATGCCTACTAAATAGTCTCTCTACCTCCACTCTTTCCCTTTAACATAGCAAAGCGAGGAGTATATGAACAGAATATATTTATTTCAAAGACTTAACCATGATCCTGACGTAGAAGTCTGCAACTCCCTCAAGTTAACATACTAAGTGTGTACTCTCAAATTGGGGTGGGGAAGAGAGAAAAAGTGAGCTAAGAAGAGCTTTCTCTAAGTGAGTCAGGCTAAGTTTGTACTCCTTTAATATCCTGAGGTGAAAACTGTATGCTTGTTTTATTTAGCATACTGAAATTGAGATTTCAAACCCTATCTACTCTACCTACATACTAGGTACAATGCTATCAGATTAACCTTCCTTGATGACTGCTTTTTAGCATGCTGTTCTCTTGTTTAGCACATTTAAGAACTCTCCATCATTTACAGATTCAAACCCAAACTCCTCAGCCCAGTTCTCGCCTTCTGCAACTTGGCCTTAAGGAAACTTTTTATTTTTGTCTCCCACTAATGCCTGATTTTTGAACTCTCTGCTTTAGGAGTACACAACTCTTGCTGAACCTCTTACTCTTTAACTGATCACACCCCTCATCTGACAAATCATATCCTGCCTCATTTTGGTTGGTTACTATTTTATGTATATGTCCTATATATCCAACTAAATTAGAAGTTCTCTGAATACAAGGAAAATGAGTTAATATCTTCCTATTTCTTGAGTGCTCTATACATGGCAGATACTCAGTAACTATGGGTTCTTAACACACGTCTTACATTGTTGCTCTAAAATGATGTCATCATATTTATGTGGCATTTTATGCTTTCTAGCCAAATTTTATGTTCATTCTCTCAAACTCAGCCTAGCCAAAACAGCACTCTTGATTTCCTTCTCTCATCCTAACGTATTTCTCCCCAGCTAAGTAAATGATGCCACCAGTTACCCAGTGGCTCAGACTCCACATCCAGAAGTGATCCTTGATTTCTCTCTGTCCTTCTCTCTCCACAGCCTATCTGCCCATGGGTTCTTAAAATATATCCTCCATACAACCATTCCTCTCTACTGCACTGCTACTTCACCACACTAGCCTCCAAGCTGGTCTCCTAGCTTCCCCTCAGGCCCTTCTACTATCTCTTCTCCACACAGTAGCCAGAAGAATCATTTGCAAATATAAATCAGACCATATCACTCTCTCATTTAAATCCCTCCAGTAGTTTCCTGTAGCACTCAGAATAAAATATGAATGCTTTACCACAGCCTACAAGGCTCTGTGTGTCCTGGCTCCTGCCTACCTTTCCAACTCTAAGTCATAGTATTCATCCTCTATATCCCCAGGCTCTGGCCATCATGGTCACTTTCCCAATCCTAGAACACACCAGGCTTGTTCCGGCCTTGGAGCCCTTGCACATTCCGTTTCCTTTGCTTAGAACATTCTGCCTCCGGAACTCTACACTCTAAAGTAATCTCCAGCCTGCCCACCTGACCACTTTCAACCATATCATACTGTTTTACTTCATCACTTATCTCTATCTTGATCATCTATTTACTTGTTTATTGACAATCACACCCAGAGTCTATTCAAAGTACAAAACTAACTGGCAATTTGCCAATTTTGTTCAATATTGTTTCTCCAATACCTATAATAATTCCTGGCACATTGTAAGAGCTAAATAAATGACTTGAGTAAGTGAATGAATACGTGATCTCAGTTGATACCTTCAACATTGTTATTAAGCAGGCAGTAAAAGTATGATTAGCCTCACTTTATGGACAGGGAAATTGAGGTTCAAAATTATTAAGTGACTTTCCTCAATGTTACATAGCAAGCTAGGGACAGGGTCAGAACGCAATCTTTGGGTTTTAAGTTCAGTGTTCTAGCTGTTATATATGATGTTAAAATGTAGTTAGTTTTAAACCACTTCAAATAATTTTTAAAAATCATTAAATCTTTTTAATAAACATGGCAACATTTTTAATGGGAGAAAAGATTCTAATAAAAATCTATTGTTAAATCAACTATCCCATCAAACATAAAACAGGACAAGTGAAAAAGCAAAAGTTTGTCCCCTATATATATTTTTTCTTTCTGATACATTTTAAAAACACATATACTCAGCCATTATCTGTATACATTTGGTAAGATATGGAATGCAAAAGTGAAAGCATCCAATTGACAGCCTACATTATACACATGCATACAGATCTTACATCCTTTAGTCCCTTCCATTTTTCTACCAACACAACTCATTTAAATTCCCAGAAAAATGTCCATCCTAGAACCTTAAGATTAAGCATGAGGGTGTATTCTACGATTCTGTTATAAAATTCTTTGATGAACCTCCTTGATGAAATACTATCATTCTAAAGGATAATAATAATGTTAAAAGTGTTTTTTTCCTTATAAGATATCACTCATAAGCCCTTTGTGTATAGCTGCCACAGAAACAACAATGTCACTAGAGATGCCCCATTAAAAATGGACCCTTCAAAATATTTAAACATACCCTTTTAAAAGCCATTCATTGATGGGTGTGACTGATAAAAGCTGAAGAAAAAGCCATATTGCTGCTGGGAAGAATGCAAGTGTAAAGATCTGAATAAAAAGATGCAGTTTTATATGCACCAAAGCACTGGTCAGCTCCTGTAAAAATGAAGGACACAAAATAACAAAGGTAAGAAAACTACTTCTGAAGAGAGACTGCTACTAAAATAACATCACATGAATTAACGTTTTTTCCTACTGGCATATAATTGACATATAATACTATATTAGTGTCAGGTGTATGACATAATGATTTGACATTTGTATATATTGCAAAATGATCACACAATGTCTAGCTAACATCCATCAATTTGGTGTCATTTCATAGCTAAAATTTTTACCTATAAGCATATGCATGAGACAAACTTTAAGGAAAAAAAAGTTATTTGTGATGATTGTAAAGTATTTTTATATAAAATTTCTGAAATATTGTAATTTCTTTTGAATATACAATATATCCTAACAATTCAGATTTGTACAATTCTGGAGCAGCACTAAGCTAACTACATTTACACTAGTATAGATTTAAAGATTGTTGATACTGTAAAAAACATATATGTTTAACTACCTTAAAAAATAAGTCCTGTTTAAAAATTTTAGCAGGACCTATCACATTTTAATTTACTATGATAATTAATCCTTATTCCTTACACCAGACCTAGCAAGGCCTCAATTTGGCAAGATGTTACTAAATCTATACACAAATCATAATTTTTAAAAATGTTTTCCCCAATGATATTCTATAATTTGAAATGACTTTTTCCCCAAAATCTACTCACTAGATTTCTTTTTTAGCATTTACTGAATAGTAGCTACATACCATGCTCTGAGCTTGTCACTTTATATATGTTATCTCATTTAATCCTTACAACAACCCCATTAGGTAGATATTATTATCCCTATTTTACTGATGAGGAAATGGAGGCTGAGACCTACTATACAGTAAAGCTCAGAACTAAACCCATTTCTGGCATGCTATCAAACCCATGCCTGCTTCATCCACCATGTCATACTGCTGCCCCAGGAGGGAAAAGTCACATGAAACATGACAAACTAGGCACATGTTATGAGTCTCACAGCTAAAAAAGGATACTCAGTTAAACTTTGGGGTTTAAATATGTACAAACTAACAAGCATTTGCATTTGAATTTGAGTTATACGGTTATTCAGTGGAAATAAATTCAGAAAGTAGTAGAAAACTTATATAAAACATGTAGGCAGTCATTAAAGCACATTAAAGATGCCAGAGATTCACTGGTTATAGATATAGCACTGTATTGACCCCCTAGTTCAAGCAAAACATTCAAGAGATCCTCAGCCTCAGAGATATTAGCCAAAGTTTATACTATTGTTTAATAAACAGTAGGTTAATGCAGACTCATTCTGATGACCACTTTCTGGGATCTGTCTCCTGGGTTCCCTTTGTGGAGACACAAAGCAGTTCCAATTTGGTCATAAAATGTCCCTAATGACATCTAAGGAACTTCTGGCAATCCAGGTCTAATGTAGGGCAACTGGGAAACACTGGGCAGACCAGAAGCCACACTAGGTCCATGGATCTGAGCTAAGTTAAGAGGAGCCATCCTTAGACTGAATCAGAATTTTCAGCCCAGAACAAACTTGAGCACCAGCAGTTCCAAGAATTCTCAGCAGTCTTGAAACCAAATCTCACTCAAATATATTCACAGGCATTCAACAAATACCAAATAAATACTAGTGATATTTTTATTTTTAAAAAATTGTGATAAAATGATTAGCCAGAATGCAGTAACTAAGGTACTTGCATATACTTCTCACAGGAGTATAAAATGGTATTAACTTTTCTGAAAAGTAATTTGAGAATACATATCAAGGACTATAATACAATTCATATTCTTGGACCACAGAGTTTTATATCTAGGCATTTATCCTAAGGATATAAAAAGTGGTTACAAGCATTATACACAGAATTGATTGTCAGAGCATTATCTATTAAAGCAAAATCTGGAAACAACTTAAATGTCCAAAAATGGGAGAATAACTAAATAAACTTAAGGTATAAACATAGTGTTGAGAGCTATTAAAAGCCATGTTAAAACTGTGTTGACAAGGCTATAGGAGTAGAGGGTCTCTCCCTACTTAACCAATAGGAGTGTAAATTGGCACAATCTATGGAGAGCAATTTGGCAACCCATTCCTTCATTCAACAAATACATACTGAGCACCTGCCACCATTCTAGGTACTTGGAATACCTATCACAACTTAAACTGCACATACCATTTAACTGAGCAATTCCACTTCTAGGAATTAATCCTTCACATATGCTCCCAGTGTGGGAAATGACATATTTTGAGGTTATCCTTTGCAGCATGTTTGTAATAGCAAAACCTTGTAAATAACCTAAATGCCCATCAATAGAAGACTAAGAAAATATGATGACACATTCATAAAATGGAATACTTTTTGGCATATAAAAAGAAACAGTGAGGGGCTGGCCCCGTGGCCTAGTGGTTAAGTTCAGCGCCCTCTGCACCAGCAACCCGGTTTCAGTTCCTGGGCGCAGACCCACACCACTTGTTGGTGGCCATGCTGTGGTGGTGACTCACATACAAAACAGAGGAAGATTGGCACAGATGTTAGCTCAGGGACAATCTTCCTGAACAAATAAATAAATAAAAAAGAAACAATGAGTTCTTTATGTGTTGATATGAAGGAATCTCCAAGATATGCTTTTTGAGTAAAATGAGGGTAGGTGGCAAACAGTATGAAATACCACAATTTGAGGGCATGAAATACACATATGTGTACGTTTTGCATAGAATGTCTCTGGAAAGATCCATAGAAACTGTTAACATTAGTTGTTTCCAGAGAAGAAAACTGGATATTTGGTAGAGGGGTGAAAGGAAGACTTATCATCATATATACTTTTGTACCTTTTGCTTTATGTTCATAAAAGTAAACAAAACGTAAATTATCTTATTTTTAAATATATATAAATGAAGAAAAATTAAATTACATGAAAAATGATTATACGTCACATAGAAAAAATACGATTATATATGTGTAGATATGTATGGAAGTATGTGTATACATATATACATACATATATATAAAATTTTTTTAAATATTTTATTTTTAAAATATTCTATTTGTAACAAATGTGTCTAAGAAAAAAAGAACTAAAAAACACATAGATGTTAATAGCAGTTATGTTTATTCTTTCTAATCTTTCTACAACGGGGAAATACCACTTTTGTAATCAGAAAAAAATTATAAAAAAATACATGTAGTTAGGGGCTGGCCCGGTGGCACAAGCGGTTAAGTGCGCGCGCTCCGCTGCGGTGGCCGGGATTCGCCCGTTCGGATCCCGGGCGCTCACCGACGCACCGCTTGTCAAGCCATGCTGTGGCGGCATCCCATATAAAGTAGAGGAAGATGGGCACAGATGTTAGCCCGGAGCCAGTCTTCCTCAGCATAAAGAGGAGGATTGGCAGATGTTAGCTCAGGGCCGATCTTCCTCACAAAAAAAAAAAAAGAAAAGAAAAAGAAATGTAGCTGGAAAATACTAGCTGACCTATAAAATGACAATTAGAAACAACTGACATTGCATCAGAATAACGGAACAGTAAAAAAATTCAGCAAAATGAATCACAAGTGCCTACTATGTTGGGTCATGAGGGGCCTCTTAACACCAGGGAAATAACAGATGTGAAGTGTTCCTAAGATTTTCAAGACTGTCACAAAAACCCAGTGTTATATATTTTCTATATCTTCTTCATGCTACCTTAAAGATAAAATAAGGTAACACTGGAAAAGAAAAAGCAAGTAAACACTATACAATCCAAAATAGTATTATTCCATATATATCCATGTAGAATTTAGGGCCACATACTCAAATAAATGCCATCATGAATAAGTGAAAAGTTGATTTTGCATGAGACTTTGTTTATTCACATGTAATACAGGTCAAATTCATCAAAATAAACTTAAGGAGATACTCTACATATTGATTATACCAGAGTCTCACTGACAGCATCAAGAATTGCTTAAAATCAGAGGCTCTGACTGGGATGTAGAAATATTTTCATTACATACCAATTTTCCTTCTAACCCTTATTTGACCTTCATGTGATTCACTTTCTGAGAGTCAGCCTCGTAGCTCTGGGCTGGAAACAAGCAGCATTAGCCTAAAGTTTAGAATTTGCTATATTTACTTCTAAGCTAATGGGATTTTAAAAAATAATATGTTTGGGAAAATAAGGAAAAACCTGTATATTCTGCCCTACACAGGACCCTTTTCAGGCCCTGAGAGTCCTGCTCATCTTTGTTTCTATCCCCAGTGCCACAGTGCCTTGTAGCCATACGCACCTGATAGTAATTGTTTAAATGAGATCGGTCCTGCCACAGTCTAAGTGACAAATTCTCTGAAACTGTAGGTTTGAAGATAGCTAAATATGAAATATATTTCAAATGTGACTTTATTTCATTTCAGTACAACAAAATTTCAGAAACCATTTCAACAGGTTATTTCGAAAACTAGAAATCAACTGTCATAAAACTGAAGATTTAGCATTAAATCTTTTCAGCATGAAGTATTAACACAGAGCTCTTTATAATTTTAATAATTAGCAAAACAAATTTTAGAATACACAGCATTACATCAGTGTATGAGTAATACTATATGAAATGTTCAATGTAAATCAATCTTGAATGGGACCAATGCAAATGCTCTCAAATAAATTCAAGTCAGTAATAACTTACGGTCTCCTGTATGCAAAAATGCAGTATTCTAGGACCTAAAAGGATACAAAAATAGTTGTCCCAGCTGAAATTAATTTAATATTATTAACTAGAAAACAATAACAATAAGATTGCTACCTCCTAACTTACAACTGTTCGGTTGCCCAGGAAATTAGCAGGGTTTAGAGACGGTTTAACATTACACAATGATGCAATCTAGGGCATCTTAAGTTAAATGGATCTTGAAAATGACTTAAGGCTGTATTAGTTTGAAAAGGGCCTTTGATGGAGGAAATGGCTTTGATGGCTACCTAGATACCGTAGTAAAGCACAGGATCAAGGCATTTCATCATTAGATCCAAATTAGCTGGATGACTCTGAAGGTTTCCTAGGCGCTTACAGAAGAATTTGGTCCTTAGAGAAATGCTGATAGCTGTGACATTCTTCGTTCTCCAACCCGTGCATCCCATGAAGTTGACTGCTTTACAGAATAGCATTAAGCAAGAAGCTAAAGGAGTGAGAGAATCAAGTCTCTTGCCAGATTTCCCATGGCATAAGTAACAGCTGTAGCCATTAAGCAGCCACCAGGGGACGTAGTTAGAGCAACGCCCCAAGTAGAGGACTTCGGTGAGGCAGCTGCTCCACAAAGAGCATTAGCCAAGGCCAGCAGGCAGACCTCCAAGGAAGATCAGGCCAGCACTACGGGAGTGGCAAACACCTTTCTGTATCACTGGGCCCCACATTTGAGAACAAGTAGCAGAACCCAGGTGTTGACAGAAAAAGTCTGTGCCTTCTAAGCACTAATCATAGTCCTTTCATATGAATATAATTTACAAAAACTGGAATTTAACATATTTAGGAAATCCTATCCCATGTCAGTTATTTTCAGAAGAACAGGTAATTAGTGAGAATATTTAGAATTCTTGAGACACAATTTATCAGACACTACACAGGGATCCCATCTATATCAAAATGCCTCAATGAAAAGATTTAGATCAACCTGATAACTACAGAATACATAAATTTAGCAAAACCATCTTTTTTCCATGTTGCTACTAGGATAGTCAAAGGAGGTAACTAAATTTAGTCTTCATTCAAATCACACTTAAAAGAAAAGAAAATAAACTTAAGTAAAGGCAAGACATGATGCTGAAACAGAATTTTAACTTTTAAAGCCAAAAAAATTCTTACATAGTAAGATTTCTCTCTCTACATAAGAATAAGTATCTTAGAAAGATAACTTTAAAAATTCTATGTAATTTCTTCGAAAGCAAATATGTACTTTCTCCTCTTTTTTTTCTTCCATTATAAGTGAAAAGAGAATCATAAATTCTATTCATTCCTCTCTTGGATGTAAAAATGTCTGAATTTTTTAAATTCCAAGAGAATCCCATGTTCAGTGACACCTAGATCAGTAAATAACGTTACCTGTATGTGTTCATGATAGGTTGCAACTTAGTATGAAAAATTCTAATATTTCTCTTAAAACATTCATCAATATTTAACAGATATACTAGCAAAGGATATACTTTTTAAAAAAATATATAAATTAGTTAAAAGTTATAACAAGCATCACTTGAGCAGCATGAGTCCTGGAAACAAAAGATGATCCACAAAAGTTATGGAAACCTAACTAAACATCAACAACTCAAATGTGGCACAGCAGACATCACTATGGCTACCACCATAATCTGAGGAAGACCTGAAGTAGATGCTTCAGCGCAGTTGCCATATTAAAAACAACACCATTATAACCACACTCTCAGGGTCCATACAGCTCTACTATAAAGTTTCCATAATATGTAGGTACCAAACACAAGTCCTTTGCTGAAGTCCAAGTTATATTCTGTTATAGTGAAGCCTTCAGACTATAGCTACACAAGGCTTTACAAAAGGATTCTGAAATTTCAAAATAGTAAGTACAAATTAAATTTTTCTCCCTGCTTTTCATGTGCCCCATAGGTGACAGTACCTCTGTTTTTAATGATAGTCCACTGTTAAAGAATATTGTTGAGACAGCAATGTAGGAGACAGTTATTTCCGGCTTCAGTGGTCCTAAAGAGAGAGAAATGAGTTGCTGTTAGATAAGAAGTTCCAGTAGATAACTTGGTATGAAGGAAGAATCCATTCGAGGAGGACAAATAGTACTTTAAATCTTAATGTTGCCCCCCAGTACACTACTGTGCTGATAGAGTTAAGCATTTGCTGGGATGCAGTCTAACTCCAGAGGGGATTTTCCAGAAGGCAAGGACCATGGCTGTCCAGATCAGCACAGTATCCTCAGATCAGAAGAATGAAAACAAACTGCTCTCCTAATTATATCTGCTACAGTGTCAGTGCTTTTATAACAGTCAAAATTCCCCAAACCAAAGGAAGAGAATCGATGGAAGAAGTTCCCTTCTCTTTAGCAAATATTATTTTATTCCTTCTAGGATACCAGAAGTAAAAGCTTGTATTCATGCATACTTTCAGTTCTGTCCAAGAGTATTCATTCTACAAATATTTATTGAGCTATTACTATGAGAATGAGATATTGCATACAGAGTAATAAAGTACCTAAAACGTGTTAAGATTGTAATTATTTTTAAATTATGCCAGGCCCTGGGCATACTGTAGTGAACCAGACATGCTTGATCCTTGCCCTCTGGAAAATCCTCTCTGGAGTCAGGCTGGCCTCACCCCAGATGTGTTAACACTGTGAGTACAACAGGGGCAACCCTAATATTTATTTATTTTTGTAGCTTGTACACAATTGGCTTGACGACCTAATGTGCTAACCAAAGAACAACATTCTTTTAAAAGCTATAGGTCTGAGAAAATGCCATTTTTTATGTAGTTACGTAATTTACACGTTTTATACCTGTATACCGGTGGTTCTCCAGCAGTGGCAATTTTGCCCCCCAGGGACATCTGGCAATGTTTGGAAACTTTTTTGGGTTGTTATAACTTAGGGAATTGGGTGTGTTACTAGCATCCAGTAGACAGAGATCAGGAATTCTGCTAAATATCCTGGACGATAACCCTGCCCCACAACAAAGAATTATCATGTCCAAAATGTCAATAATGCCGAGGTGGAGAAACCCTGCCATATACCAGTGTTTTAAAATCTGAGACCATCTCATGTGAGACATTTTACTCAGCCTTCTTGTCCTGGGTTGAATAGTGTCCCTCCAAAATTCATGTCTACCCAGAACCTATAAATGTGACCTCATTTGAAAATTGGGTCTTTGCAGATGTCATCAAATTAAGATGAAGTCTTATTGGACTAGGGGAGACCCTAATCCAATGATTGGTATTCTTACAGTAGAGAGAAATTTGGACAGAGTCACACATAGAGGGAAGATGGCCATGTGAAGACAGAGGCAAAGACTGGAGTTACATTACCACAAGCTAAGGAACACCAAGGATAGCTGGCAACCATCACAAGCCAGAAGAAACAAGGAAGGATTCTTCCCTAGAGCCTTCGGTGGGAGCACGGCCCTGCTGACATCTTGACTTTAAAATTCTAGCCTCCAGAATAATTTCTGGAAAACAAATTTCTGTTGTTTTAAGCCACCCGGTTTGTGGTAGTTTGTTGCAGCAGCCCTGGGAAACTAATACCCTTCCTTAAGCAAAACAACAGGACCACAGTCATGGCTCCTCCATTCCCTGCAACCCTCCACCACACCTACAGATATTGCACAATAAATATGACCAAGCTCAGGAAAAATCACCTTCATTCATTCAACAAGCATTTATCGAGCAACAACTATATTGTAGGCATTTGTAGTCGACTAGTGAAAAAAGGAAACAAAGATCTCTTCAAACACTGCAATAAATTCTTTTATATACCTGGCACTTATACAAATCATTTTGCTGAGATCTGAGAAAAGAGAGAAAAAGGAAAAGGCAAGTGCAAAAGGCATTACATTTCAGGGCATTAAAGCTGTTCCAACACTTAAAAAGAGGTACTTATTTTTATACTTGTGAGAGAATCTGCCTCAGCAACTCACACTAAGAAATAATATTTCCTCAACAACCAAGGAAGGTGATTCTGGAGCAGATTTTAAAGTCAAGCAATCTGGCTTGTTTTGGAACTAAATGCCTTCCAGGAATTTTACATACCATATTTTAAATCATTTTTATTTTCCTCCAATACCCTGCTTTTTATAAGACCTTGTTTTTGTCAACTGTGCTTCTGCCCACAGTGGTGCCCCAGCATTTCTATATAGGTTAGAGTTAGCAACATGGTCACAAGTGAGAGCTAGAAGACACGTCCAAAGATGCATCTCCAGAGCAAGCACATGGCATTCACTTAGGTTGCATGTTTCTTTGGAGCAGCTAAAGCATCTACCTTAGTTGGCCAACAACAGTATTTTTTAAGAAGCTAACTCTTCCCACACTCCACACACACATACATAAATACACAAAGTAACTATTAACTAATTGGCATAATTCAGTGGAATGATTCCTAACTTTTAATGTTTAAAATCCTAGAGACAGGGTATACTGTCTTTTGAGTTAGATGCACATCTAAATAACTCTAATCCCTGAAAGGACATGGTGAGGATATTCCAGGGCTACCTACAATGTACCTTTTAAAAGGGAAGGAGGAATTAATTCTGTTTTGGAGACACCTAAGGCCCCTTTGAAACATCATCAACGGAGATACTAATCGATTGCCCAAGTTGGGAATGCAGAACTAGAAGTCACTCGGTGGAAATAAAAACTTGGGAAATATTTGTACAGAAGTAAGAGTGGAAACTAGGATACAAAAATGATATTTGGCCCCTCTCCAAGGTAATGATTATATCTTCCACGTCACCAAAATAACTAGATTCAGATCTTAAGATGGGTATAAAGCTCAAAGTGAAAATATAAGTTTTATCTTTTCCTTTAAACAAAAGCAAAAAAATGTTTACTAGTGAAAATGGAATGGAGAAGCAAAATAAAAAAAAAAAAAAAATTGGCCATAACAAATGAAGCAATTTCTGGGTTCCAAAACCCATGTTTTTTAATGGGAGGGAAAAAGAAAATGATTTGGAATGCTGAGGAATGCAAGAAACTATTACCATTTCATAAAATCTACTCATCACTAAGTAAATTTCACTTCTAAACCCAATCTAAGATATTCATGCTAATATGCTTAAGCTTATAGCATGTTTCTGGTTATGTTTTTTAACGGAAAAACGAAGCAGTTTCCTTTTCAGGATTTATGTCTTATTAATGGCAATAATTTAAGTTAAGATGCAGTAGAAATGAGAAACTTAGTCTGTACTTCCAAAGAAGTAAACCTTTCTCTTCCCGAGAATGAATAGCACAGTGTTGAACTCTGGTAAACTGTAAGGTGTGCATAGCTCAGCGCTTCCCTGGGTCAAAATGGAACAGATTATCAACACTTCAGAATCTACACGTTCACATCCTCTGTGGCTTTTTATTTTCAACTTTCTTCTATATATTTAAAAGTGAAATGTAACTGAGTAAAAAGAACAGTGAACTAAGAATTAAATTATCTAGGCTAGTACCTGATGTGCTGTTTCCCATTTGGAAAGTCATTTGACTTCTCTAATTTTAGGGTCCACACATCTATAAATTTCCTGTTATACATAACTTGCCAATTGGCTATAAAGATTTTTTTTTAAGGAAAGTCAGATCATAGGTGTCATACTTTAAGTGTAGAAAGAAATCTTACACTTAAAAATAGAGTGTAGTCATTAAGGTATTGATCCAGGTATAGGTGAAGTGAGCATCTTAATAAATTGAAGACTACCAAAACTTTTCCTGTTTGAAAGAATGTCTAGAAAACTTCTACTGAAAATTGTTCAATGTGAATGCATTAAAAGTCACATTCCCAGAGTACAGAGCCCATAAATGGAATCTTTGTCTAAAAGTTACAAGCAAAAAGAGGTGCTTTAGACTATTCTAAAGAGCAGGATATGACAGAAACGTTTTCAGCAACCATTCCTCTGCTTGTTCCTAGATTTTTGTTGTTTTAACTAGTGGAGTGAAAATGTTATTTGGTACTATTTGGACATTCATTTTTATTTAAGAGGTTTTACAGGAGGGAATGTCAATTAAAAGCTCAACAGAAGTATCAAGAACTTAGACTGACAGCCTATATAAGAAATCCCAAACAATTGTTTGCTTAAATTTTGTTTTTAGAAAAAGTAACTTTTACCTACGGACAGCTATCAAAGAAATCATATGAGTACATTGTTATCTAATATTAGCTGATTCTGCTGTGCACCTTTGGGCTAAAAATCAGGGCATGGAAAATGTCTTTATTACATAGAGTCCTTCTTAATACTGATTATTCATTTTTAATGATTTATTTGCCAAGAAAATTTGTATGGATTTTACAACTGGTATGAAATAAGGGGAAGTCCTGATTTCCAGCCCTTCCTCTGTCTTAAGCTAGCTAACTTAACCTAGGGTGAGTCACCGAGGTCTAACCTCAGGTCTCCGTATCTTCAACTGTAAAAGAAGCATGTTGGCTTAAAATACTTTCAAGGTCCCTTTCAGCTCTTAACATTCTGCTCTTTTATAATTAAACAAAGAAATGAATTATCCTAGATTAACAGCATAAGGACTAGTGAAATTGGGAAACAATACTTCTAAGATACAATAATATACCAAAACTTCAAGAAGTAGAGTCCAAGGGAACAAATAAGATTACAAAATCCATCTCACACCTGCCACTGCAAGGAATCATTTCCACCCTAGGGAAATGATTCAGCATTCAACAACCCTTCTTCCCACAGAGTGTCCCAGGAATGTAAGATGAAAAGTATTTTACCAAAACTAGTCCCTGCAGATTTAAACTTAAAGATCATACATTACCTGTAATTTCACCTGAACACTGAGCAAAAAGAGATCTAACACCAGAAGCTATAAAGTGTGCTAGTGAAGTGTGCATTCCAGATCACCACAAAGACACTCTCTAACTTTAATTCTTACTGTCCAGCCAGCTGCAGGGACAGAGGGTACTCATTTGACAGGACCTGATGTTCCCAAGTTTCCCAAAAGCTCGCAGAAAAGCTATGTCAAAAAAGAAACTGGTGTCTTCAGAAGGAGAAACTTCGACGAATACCAGCTTGTTATTCTCACAGTAACATACTTTGAACATTTTGTACTAAGTCGAATACAGAAGAAAAAAATAAAATAAAAAAGTTTTAATCCCCACAATCTTAATAATAATTCCTTTTAAAATGTTCCCTGAAGCTACTTCTAAATGGAGGAATTGAGGGCAGAGTGTAGAAGGAACCACTGTTCTCCTGAGAGATCATTTCATTCATTTCCATCAAGTTTTAACAAAAAGGTACAAATAACTTCAAATATCCTTCTGAGCACTTTCCAACATAAAAAGATTCTGTGTACTCACTTCTGTCCTTATTTGCCCCTGTTGTACGACTGATGTATTATTAAACCTGCCAATAAGCGCGGAAACTGACAAACAAGGTCAAAAACACTATGAACTGAAGAAATTCAATTAATGATTATGAAAAGTGGGACACGATTGTCTAAGGGTGGAAATGACTGGAAATATCATAAAAGACTAATGATATTTCCAGTCATTTCCACCAATGCCCACCCCCACATTACAAGACTCCCACTATTCAGAGATCTGAGTCTGATTTTAGCCCGCCTGCATTTTCTTGCCAAAATACATACTACACAGCCTAACACAGCCTGTATCTGTTAGGCTGCTGGTGTAGCAACTGAGTCCTGGCAGCACACGGAAGTAGCGTCCTGTAATAAAAAAGTGCAACGTGTCAGTCGGCTTGGCAGTCTCTGGAGCGGCAGCAACTGCAGCAAATCATCACTCTCCAACATGTGGGCCATAAAATCTGAGTTGGAGGAGGAAGGGGTGTCCCTTTTTCTTCCCCCATTTTTTTTTTCTAAATGTGGCGGGGGGGAGGGGGTCGGAAATTGACATGGTAATGATGTCCACTCCAAGACAGATAAGGAACTCCTGGCAACCTAACGTCCCTTGGGATAGGATGCTACTTTGAAGGCAAGAGGAATAAGTTTCATTCTCAGTAACCTCACTCCTTGACGCTGAGGATACTCATTGATTGTTCGCGGAAAAGGTAACCTGCGTTCAAATTCCTTTGCCTCATTTCTAATTACAAATCCTCTCTGGGGTTGGCATATTAAAACAATCAGCAAAAGGGCCAAAGGACACCCTGGGCTAGTCAGCGCCCCTGAGAGAGGCAGACACTTCCCAATTACGCTTTCCCCTCCTTTCCAAGACTCGAAAATTAGTTCTGAAGTGGGAATCGCGGTGGAGCGTGCGGAGGTGCAGCACTTACCCCCATTCACCCCTATGGACGGCTTCAGCTTAGCTCCGGCGATCGCCAGCACTATTCCAACCATGAACCATTCTTTCCTCATTCTCTCCAGCAGCCTCATGTTTGTTAGGGTGGGTGGGTTTTGTTTATTTGTTTGGCTTTTTTTCTTTTTAAGCTGAGGTCGCTTAATCCCCCGGGCGTCTCCACACTTTCCACGGTCCCTGCTGACATGCAGCAGAGCAAGTCAAATTGCCACTTGTAAACTAAGGACCAGGGGTTTGCTCAGCCGGCTTTGAGGAGGGCTGGGAGTAGTAGTATCCAGTGACGGGAAAGTCTCACTGAGCGCCGCCATCACTACCATGCACCTCCTAATAGACGTGCATTTAACTACGGCGGCTCTGGCCGGGGCTCCCAAGAGCAGATGCTCTAAAGCGGACACTTGGGCCAGGCCGGCCAGCGCAGGCGATCGGGGAAGGGAGGCTGGCCGCCGGGTAGGGCTGACAGACTCGCCACCGCCAAGACCTGCGGGACTTTAGGAATAACTGGGGTAGGGAGCGGCATGAGGCGCCACAGCCACCTAGCTTTATCGAGGGTCCCGCTACAACAAACCTTTAGTCACAGCTGCCCGCGTTCCTGAGCACATCCACGGAGAGGCTTTCTTTTAACTCCCCATGAGCCTGCGGGAAGGGCTACCGTTCGCCTGGGGCGGCTGCAGCGGCGGGGTGCAGGTCTTTCGGTGGCGCGTTTCTTTGGGGCATTACGACGCTTCCCAGACGCCGCCGTTGACGTGTGCGCGGGGGGAAGGGGAGGCCACTCAGTCTCCGGGTTCCCGGCCGGAGCTGTGGGCGTTAGACGCGCTCCGAGGTCGGCGCGGGAAAGCAGCTCCTTGGTAGGGGGAGCTTTACCCCCAGGGATGGGTTGAAAATTGGGCTCCCAGCCGAAGCCTAACTCAGCAGGACCCCTGCCTTCCAGCGTCCGCTACAGCCCGGGAGGGCGGTCGGGTGGGCGGCACCCGCCAGGTGGGTCGCCTGCAGGTGGGCGCTCAGCCCGGAGCCCCCTCGCCTACACCGCCCGGGAGTGAGGTGGACTGCGAGGGTTCAGCCCCCTACCGGGAGGTGAGGACCAAATCTTCCTTCGGGGGCGGTGGGTGAGTGCTCAAGCTCCCTCACTCCCCACCAAGCTCACGATGGGCGGAGCTGGAGAGTTTGAAGGGTGCGCGAGTGCACGCTCTCGCTTGACCCCCAGAGCTTGCCCACTCAAGCACCAGGACATCTGTGGGAGGGGGGTCAGGGATCCCAAGGTAAAAGTAGTGAGGGACCGAGTAAGGGGGGCTCCTGCCTTCCATTGCCCCGTGTGCTAGATTCTATCCGTCCCCCAGTTTCTCGAAGTGTTTTCTGGCAACCAGTGACAGAGAGAGTTTCATGAATGCGTTTCCTACCCATAGACCCTGCAAGAGTATCAACTCCTCCCCACAATGCACCCAAATAAATAAATAAATAAAATACTGTGTGACATTTTGAAGTAGTCTGGTATCTAATCCTTAAACGGTTAACTATGGAATTTAGGATTTGTAAGGGTCTTCCGGGATTGCTTGGTGATGCCAGACTTTAATTCTGAATTTATTCCAAGAGTGAAAGTGACTCATCCTGTAATTTCCTCTCTTTAATTTAGCTTTTTCCTGATGGCATGACTTGCTGTCCAAAAACTAAGTTGGTTTATGCAGTTGTGCTACCAGTTGTAGGTTACACAGTACCGGGTGTCGTCTACTTATATATCAGGCAGAATAACAAAAAGTGAATCTCAAGATAAAAGGAACTTAATAAAGAAACACAGATGACATTAAACAACTTAACCTGAAAAGAGAAAAGAAAGCACATGAGGTGTGATCAAATCTGATGTTAATTATCAGACAGTCACAAGATAAGTGGAGATACATGAAAGATAGTTTACAACACAATTATTTTCTTCGAGTAATTTCTTATTAGGTTAAAGAGTCATATATCTCAGTCTTTGAAGGTATGCTCTTGTATTAAAGATCATTAAACATTATGCTTACAGAAATTGAGCTGATTGGCCTTTATGGCTGTTCACAAATTCTTATTTACTAAGAACTCTTTAATCTGTTTAGAGCAGAATCTAACTCATGGACAGGGTTTTTTGTTTTGTTTTTGTCGGCACTTAAAGGAAAAGAATACAGTGCACTGTGAATTCTGTTCTGTTATGTTAAGGCGTTGTGTTAGTTTCCCACTGTGGCTGTAACAAATACCTAAAAGTGGATGCCTTAGGATAACAGAAATTTATTCTCTCATAGTTCTGGAGGCCAGAAGTCCAAATCAAGGTGTTGGCAAGGCCGCACTACCTCTGGAGGCTCTAGGGAGAGGATCTTTCCTTGCCTCTTCCAGCTTCTAGTGGTTGTCAGCATAACTTGGCTTTCTTGGCTTATGGCCACATCACTCTAGTCTCTGCATGTGTCTTCACACTGCCTCCTCCTCTTCTGTGTGTCTCTTATAAAGACATGTGTTGTTGGATTTAGGGCCCACCCACATAATCCAGAATGATCTCATCTTAAGATCCTTAACTAGATCTGCAAATATCCTTTTTCCAAATTAGATAACTGTACTGTGTTGAATGGGGTCCCCCAAATATTCATGTGTACCTGGAACCTCAGAATGTGACTTCAGTTGGAAATCCAGTCTTTGCAGATATAATTAATTAAGATGAGGTCATAGTGGATTAAGATGGGTCCTAAATCCAATGACTAGTGTCCTTATAAGGAGATCATGTGAAGACACGCAAGAGAGACACAGAGAGGAGATGCAGTGTGAAGTTGGAAGCAGAGATTGGAGTGATGTATCTAAAGCTGAGGAATGCCAAGGATTATTAGCAACCACCAGAAGCTGGATGAGAAGTATGGAACAGATTTTCCCTCAGAGCCTCCAGAAGGAAACAACCCAGCTGACACCTTGATTCAGACTTCTGTCCTCCTGAACTGTGGGAGAATAAATTTGTTTTGTTTTAAGCCACCCAGTCTGTGGTACTTTGTTACAGCAGTTCCAGGAAACTAATACAGTACCATTCATGGGTTCCATGGATTTGATGCAGACCCATCTTTGGTGTGGCCATCACTCAACCCACTACAAGGCCATTATCTGCTTTCTCTTTCTTCCATTACTCTTTCTTCAATAAATCTATCACTCTTCTTTCTCACTTATTTTTTCTTGTCATTTTTTCCTTTCCCCTGCCTCTTCACCACCATTTTTTCCTTTGTTACCCCTGCCACTTCACTGACGTGAAGACATCCCAACCAAAATGTACATGTGAAAGCACGCTTCTCTAAAAGACACGCAATAAATGCTCTTTATTCACTAGATATTATATTTGTTTATTGAACAAATATTTAATATGCCTCCACTGTATGCCAGGCATGTGTCAGTGCTGTGCAGTCAATTATGAACAAAAACAGACACAAAACCTGCCCTCAGGAGCTTATAATCTAGTAGAGGAGACAGATGTAAACAAACATGTAATTACAAATTGTGGTAGGAAAAGAACAGGATATTGTGAATAATCTAGGTTGGGGAAGGCCTCCATGAGATCTGAAGGATGAGCAGGCATGTGGAGAAAGCTATTGCTCAGCAAGGAAGAGCTTGACACCGTGGAATTCAAAGACGAGGGTAGCTGGACTAGTCAGTGAAGGGACAGTGACGTGAGAAGGGTGGGGAGCTAGGCAGGGTACAGATTATGTTGACCTCTCGTGTTGCGGTAAAGGCTTAGATTTTGTTAAATACTATAGGAAGCCACTGAAGGATTTTAAACTAGCTAGTGATGACACGTCCAGTTTTGCTGGAGAGATTACTTTAGAAGCAGTCTCTGGACAATAGTTCAGGAAGAAGTGACGAAGTCAATAGAACTGGAAAAGGCAATTAGTATAAGAACTGTTAAGCAGGGAGAATAAAAAGTAAATGACCAGTCATCTATATGGGAGTAGTGAAGCAGTCAAAAATGATTCCCAGAATCTGTTTAGATAGATACCAGTGCTATTCACTCAGCCAGGGAATCTTTACGAAGTAGATTTGGGGAGAAGATTATAAATTTGGTTTATATCTTATGTTCAAAGCCATTGGGGCATGTAAATAGAGATGTCCAGAAGGCAGGTGGAACGGAAGTTTGAGCTCATGAGAACACAGTTGCTATAGCTCTGGGATTCTTCAACAATAGATTATGGAAACCATGGGCATTAATGTAGCAAATATCTACTTTTAGACTTTGTTACTTACATTGGATAGTCGATCTCTTTGAATATGGTTCATTTACTCATAATATTTATCAATGTTTACTATGTGCCAAGAACCTGGGTACACCTTATAATTGCTCTCATGGGCTTTATGTTGAATAAAATGGTGATAGGAATGCTATCTCATGGGGCTGTTGAAAAGATTCAGTGGGATAGCGTATGTACGTTGCCTTGCATGGAACAAATGCTCAGTTAATTCATTTGTTCAACAAATATTTGTTGAGTTCCTACTTTGTGCTAGGCATTATTCTAGATACTGGGGTTACAAGGAAAAGAGAGAGACAAGGTTTCAGCTTTCTTTCTGTGTTCTAATAATGACATAAAGAAGAAAAGTAACAAGTAGTGATAAATGCCATGATGAAGATAAAACAGGTTATGTGATACAGTAACAAGTAGGCTACTTTGAGTGTTCAGGGAAGGCCTTTCTGAAGGATGCATAAGCAGGCACCCAAATGATGGGGGGAATGTCCATGATGCTAATATGTGGGAGGTGAGCACTTCAGGCAAAGGGAACAACAGGGACAACCTGTGTAAACGCCCTAAGGTGAGAATGGTCTTGGCATGTGTGTTTCCTATTGCTTCTGTAACAAATTACCTCCACTTAGTGGCTTAAGGCAGCACAAATTTATTATCTTACAGTTCTGGGGTGCAGAAGTCCAAAGTGGATCTCACTGGGTAAAATAAACATGTCAGCACGTCTGCATTCTTTCCTGGGTTTCTAGAAGAGAATCTATTTCCTTCTATTTTCCTTGCTCCTAGAGGCTGCCTGCATTCGTTGGCTTTCAGCTCCCTTCATCTTCAAAGTCAGCAATGGCCCATCCAGTCTTTCTCATGATGAATCACTCTAACACTGACTCTCCAGCCTCCCTTTTTCACTTACAGTGACCTTTCTGATTACAATGGGCAAACCCAGATAATCCAGGATGATGACCCTATCTCGACATCCTTACCTGTAAAGTCCCTTTTGCCATGTAAAATAGCATATTGACTGGTTCTGGGTATTAGGATGTGCCATCTTTGGGGGCCATTATTATGCGTACTACAGCATATTAAAGGAATAGAAAGAAGGCCAATATGACT